TCCTTAACGAGGCTTTAAATTAGCGCACTTGTTGCAACCAAAAATTCTTACCATTTCCTACACAATTTCCTATATTTTCTTTTATACTTAATTTCTCATCATTACTTTGATTCTCTCATTTAAAGAAGAAAAAAAAAATCATTTTTAAATAAAAAAGAACAAATTGTATAGAAAATTTTTCATATTATGCAAAAAAAAAAACCAAGGAAATAATTGTGTTAGTGTAAGTATGAAATATAACGAGAAAATAATGGTATAAAATATGTACAAAGTATATTTTACCCATTAAAATAATATGAGAGAGGAATAAAAAGACCAAAATATGTCTAGAGATGCTAACAACCATATTATTTATAAAACACAAGTCTGCGGATAAGGAAAAATACCAAAAGAGGAAGAGAAAGAGGAAGGGAGAGAGGCAAAATTATATGAAAGTTTACATACCATAATAATTGAACTTAATGGAGATTACATGCTCATGTAATTAAATAGGTCAGTAAAAAAGTTGAAAGAAAATGGAAAATATGGAAGAAAATGTGAGAGAAGTGTTTGTTTTAAATTCTTCAATTTTTTTTTTTTCGTACCATAAAATTTTCTTTGGTTAGTATTTGAAAATGGTGTGGTAGGTCTAAGTTTGAAAAGCAAATACATATAAAAATATGAGTGTGTAATATTATAAAAGTCTCCTCAAAAAATAATTAAAGCATTATGCATTACAATTATTCCATTTCTAAGTGAATTTACATAATAATATAAGAAAGATTGTACAATTATATCACAATTACATGACCCTTAATTCATATAGGTAGGTACATTGTTTAAAATTGTACTTATAAAAATAATATAGTGAGTGTGTTCAGAAAAGAATTTAAAAAATATAGTTAGTGTTGGAATTTTTGGTGACTCTGTTCAGATATTAGCGACATTAACGGCACCTATTGGAATTTTATTAAAGAAAACACAGAGACGAGAGTTTAAAATTAATAATATCGCAGAAAGAAAATGTGAAATTTAGGAAAGAAATTAATTAAATGAGCAGTTTAATTAAGTATTACGTAATATAAGAAAATTCATTTTATACTATAGAAAGAATACCAAAGCAATAACCATATGAAAACATAATTGTTCATAAAAATAAAATTATAATAAAAAATTGCATACTTTTAGGGAATAATTAAGTACGTTTAGATTGTTAAAATTTTATTTCTATGAAATTTTCTGTATTGTTAGCAACATTATTTATAATTAATTTAGTTAAGAGCTGCTTTTAATTTATTATTTATTTTAGCATTAACACAGAAATGATTAAAATATGTTGGAAAACCTTTGGAAATAGGAAAATATTGTTATTAAAATTCTATTTATAAAAAATTATTAAAAAACTTAAATAAAATCCTTTCAGTGCCTTTCGATTTCAAGGTTCCATAATATACCGAGGGTTTATCGTTAACACTTATTCGAATTTGAATTTCCAATTTTCTGACCCTTCAACAAAATCTCCATGTATTAAATTCAGAATAGTTTTTGTTTTTGCAATAGAATTTTCAATTTCAACGTTATACATAATAAAAATTACCTTGAATTCCCAACTTCTTTAATGCTTTAATTATATTTTCTAATAAGTTTTACGTACTTACATAATATTATTTATTATAAGTATGTATATACGAGTATTTACAGGAATTTGTAAAATAATAAACTATTCAAAAATGAAAACAATTTTAATCAGCTTAATTAATTTTAAAACTAAAAAAAAAAATAATAAAATAAATTTTTCATTGTAATTTTGTTAAGTAAATGAAAAATATTATTTTAGTATTTTCCAAAACATTTAATTAAATTAAAGGTCAAAAAAATTTTTAATTTAAATAGAGTAATTTTAGTAATAATGTAAAAATTTTGTTATTAAATTTTAATTTTTATTAATTGTTGTATGCATGTATGTACGTTTATGTTCGTATTTGACTGTTAAGTAGCATAACACTTCATTTTGAATCGGCATTTTGAGCCAAAAACTAAAACGGAAGAAAATATGGTGACAAAATGAAAATATTGGTTTATACCCACAATTTTAAGAGAGTTACCGTTTGGAAGAAAAACTCTTGCATTTAGAACATAAGAGAAGAAGTTTTCAAAGGTAATTTAATAACGCCTAACACTTTGCATGTTTGTGAAACGGCATCTATTTTAATTTCCGAATTTTTAAAGATTTTTAAAGACTGGAACCAAATAAATTTTATAATTTCTCAAGGCTTTTCAAATTTGAAGCTACTATGAAATGCTTTCCTTTTTTTTCTTTCACAAGCGTGAGTACATCATTTTTTTTGGCTTTGCTATGAAAATTTTAATTTTGCCGAAGGCCTTTGTATATTGTCGAAAAGCGGAATAATTTTGGGGACATTTCGAGTTTTCTCATCATGATTTTTTTTTTCTCTTATTGAATATCTTTGCTAATACTACACTTATTCTTGTCCAAGTTCTTATATTTAAATAAATTCAATATTTAACATTATTATATTAAAAAGGGTGTTGAATATTATGATTGTCGATTGTAATTTAGGGCACAACTGTATGATTAAGAATATTGAAATTCCTTTCGCAGATTGTAGTTTGGGGCACAACAAAACTGCTTTAAAAATTTTTATTTAATTAAGGAATTTGCCTCCTTTTTCTCTGAAAATATAAGACTTACCTTAATGTAATTTTTTGTATGAATTTTTTTTTCGCTTGAAGTACACAATATTATGCAACCTTGTTAGATTCCAAAACAATTTTATCAGTACATTTGAAATTTTATGGTAAATTTTTTTTATAATGAAGAATTTTTCATATCAGAAAATTTTTCAAACACTTAAAAACTTCCTTTTTCCTCTTAAAAAACAAATAATCTAAACATTTTCTAAATTCTCTAAATTTTCTGAAAATGCTTTTCAATTTTTATTTGTTCAAATTCTCTATTTTTAATCAATTTTTTTTTTACATAGACGTCATTCACTTGCAACACGATACATATTTAATGTATGCCATCTACAAATCAATCTGTCAACTATAATTTACTTGTGCCCCGATATGCACAAAAATAATTCACTTGAAATGGTTTTGTGTTTTTTTTTCTGTACTTCAGCGTTTATTTTGTATGTTTGGGTTACTAAACCAGAGTATTTTCTTTAGGGGTACATAAACTATGAAAATGCTTATAAAATCAAACTTTTCAATACTAAAAGCCATACACCGTACACACCATAATATTTGAATGGTTTTTGTGTACATTCAAATTAAAAATGTGTTTTTTTTTGTGCCTTTTTTCCCTCATCCATTATTTTGGTGTGAAAATTTAGGTGTAAAAGGACTAAAATGAAAACAATTACACAATAAAAACTGAAAGAGAAACAAAAGGAAAAAAAAAAGAAAAAAATTAAGAGAAAAACCATTGAAAATATGCTTTTGAATTTGGTTAGCCGCTAGCATAATAAACCAACAGTTATTTTTGTATACTTTGTTTTTTTATTTTTTCATTAAAATGTCGTAAAATACTGAAAAATTTTGTTTTTGTTTTCCATCTTTGTACTTTTACTAAATAATATGTGTATGTGTTTAGGTGGTGAATAATTTATCCGAATAATAAAACTGCACAAGAGGAAAAACAAATCAAAAAATGGAAAATAATAAAGAATTTTTTTTAAACCTCAAATGGTGTGATGGTTTTCCACGACATTTACGATAAAATATTCTGAATCGAATCTATATAGAACAAATTCGCTACAGCCATTAGCCAATATTTTTATTTTATGAAATTTTCCAATTCAAATTCTAAAGTGTTCCAAATAAAAAGACGATACTTGCTTGAATAAATGAAAAAAGTTAAAAATGAGCTAGAAAAGCAGTTGGAAGTGAATAAATTTACGATAAAACCTTTTACAACTTTATTTTTATCAAAGAATAAGGCATTGTATTGATTTACAAAATTTCGCCCCGAAAAGTATGCAATTTTTTCTTACATAATTTGTACAGATTCATTACAAGAATATAGCTCGCAATTTTTAAAGTTAAATTTATTCTTAAATTTGGCAGGCAATTCTTTTAAATTAAGAAATTTTTTTAAAAATATTCTATATGAATACTTAATTACCGCTAATTTTTTTAAAACCAGTAAATTTTATAGTTATGTATTTCAATTACTTTAAAATTTTTCATCGAAAGTGTTCTAGATTGTTATTAATATAACGAATAAATTTTGCTAGAATATACGATTAACATACTAAGACACGTAATTTTTAGAAATTTCACACAATACCATCGTTCATCCACTATCTCCTTAAGGTATTTTAATAAAATTTCGGTGCTATTTTGGCAAATAAAGAAAAATCGTAAAATAGAGTCGAACCTTGTGATATTATTTCTTGTTGAGTTGAGTAACATAGAATAGAAAGAAAAATATTAAAATTTTGATTGAATTGAAATTAGTATTATCTGTAGGATGATACTAAGTGGTCAAGAAATTTAAATTTTGACAACACGGCATTTTATTATGAAAATTTCAATGAATATATGAAATTCTAGTCCAGCATTAATGATTGACATAGAAGGTTAAAACGTGGCTGAAATAAATTTCGTAATTTTAGTTCATAATTCTATTTTAATTTTAATATAAATTTCAAATTTCAATTGAATTTGACAAATTTCTACAAAAAAATCAAAAATTTGATTTACAATTAAATTCTAAATGAATTTGAATATTTTGAGTATGAACATTTCTTTTTTTATATTTACATTTTTTGTACATATAAATAATTCATAACAAAATGTACATATGAAAATATTTTCATTATAATTTAATTTAGCATGCCTTCATATTCTTTATTTTATAAAATTAAAATACAAAAAAAAAAAAAAGTCGAAACAAAAATGCAAAAAAAAAAAAAATTAAACAAAATAATCAAATAAAGGTCTAAAATTTATACGTGAACAAATTTTATAAAAGAAAATCACAATTTACTCACCTTATATGTTCCTAGATGTTCAACAACACAAGGCAAATTGGCATCTCGACCCACAGCAACTGTAACATTTGGTATTGGTTGAGCGAATCTTGGTTCGTCCATCATTACTGAAACGTGAATGAAATTTTTTATTAATAGAAAAATACAAAAAAAAAATATCAGAATAGAAAAAGGAAGAAGAGGAACTTACAAAGAAAGTAAGAAAGAAAAATAAATTGGAAGAAGAGAGAATGGGAAGGAGAGAATAAAAGAAGATGAAAAAATTTTGTTACTTTTTAACGCTCTTTTATCCAAAAAAATACAAAAATTTCGATGTCCTTTTCTGGTTTTTTTTTTTTTTGAAAAAATTCACTTTATTTAATTTTTGTTCTCATGTTTTTAATATTAGTTATGTGTGTTGTTTCTTCCATTTAAGCATAATTGAATATTACAACAATATATTTTCGTTTCATTAATTTAAAGTTAAAGGGAAAGTATAACAAGAATTTTTTTTTTCAAAGAATTCAATATTTTTTTCCATCTATCATCTTCCTTCCACACAAATACATTTTCTTCTTCTTCTTCTTTTACAATAGACTAAGTTTTCGTTCAAATTTCGAGTTTTAGGGGGGGGGGGGGGGAGACTTGAAGAAAATTTTTAAAATATTTTTTCTGCCATCCTATATTCCATAAATAGAGGAAAAAGAAAGAATATCAGAAAGAAAAGAAGTGATGGTGATGTAAAGAAGAAAAACAAAAAGAACGAAAAATTATTTATAGGGGTTGAAGGACTATGAAAGTCTGGAATCATTCAAAATAATAAAGAAAATAGAAAATAATATTGAAAAGTGGAAAAATAGAAAAATGAAGAGCATTTCATGGTCAGTTTTATGTGGGAAAATATTCTTGTTTTTTTTTTTTTAATTTGAATTTGAATTAAATGGAAAAATTTTCCGCATGTTTTTTAAGACTCATGTTTTTTTTTTTCTTGTTCTAATTTTATTGGTTTCCTTTTGGTTTTTAATTTTCTTGTGTGTTTTTTTTTTTGCCTAAATTTGAATTTCTAAAAGAAAAGTTTAATTTGTTTTTAGACAATTTTTTTTTTTTTTATTTAAAATTATTTTCAAAGCATTTTTTGTTTTTTATAAAAGATAAATAAAAAATGAAAATAAAGTTATAAAATTGCGTGGAATACATTTAATAAACTCAACATCTTGTTAATTTATTAATATATTTTGGGTTGCCAGCACTTTGGATATGAAAATAATTTTATTAACAAGTTTTATTCAGAGAAAAATTTTAATTTGTGCAGCGATATATGTGAGTTGAATGAATTGCCTGATGATGAATAATTTTAGAGACTATGCTGGGAGACTATGCAATTGGTATAAAGTTTGATAATTATAACATTTATATGATAAAAGTTTAAGCTGGTTACTTAAAGCAAGTACTCAATGAAAATAATTTGAATTTGCTTCTAAATATCGAGTTTTCGTTATATTTTGTGCAAAGTCAGTTTTCATGGCCGTTGACATTTATCCTAAACAATTAATAACAATATTGTAGATACCCAATGTTCCCATTTTCCTATCTATATCACATTTATCATAATATTACACGTCTTTTTTTTAATCAAACCACTATTTTTCCTTAAATACCCTCTAAATAAGTAATTACCCTCTAGAGAGTAAATACTTTTATAACATTTAATATCGCTCTCGACGTGTAATTACTACTCTAAAGTGTTATTGTTCTATTATAGTCGAAAAAAAGTAATTACCCACAGTGTGGGTAATTACCCACACAACATATTAACTAGTAAAATTTTAATACAATATGAATGTTGTAAAACGGTGTAGCTATTATAGTTTTGCAACAATTCAACTTTAATATAACATTTAATATTTTGAAATTATAGTTGATTACCGCATTCTGGATATTAGGCTTTTATGGTAATAAAAGAAGAAACTATTCTTCTTGAGTATCGTGTGCAAAACCGAGTAGAAAATAGCGCATTTGAAATACAACTTCTTTAAATAATAATGACATGATGGTAACCTTTAATAATTACTTTGAAAATTTTCATATTGCTTTTCATTTTATTTTTGTATTTGTTTTGGTAACTTGAAGCTCTTTTTTGTGTCATAATTTTAATGAATTACTAATGAAGTTATGAGAATAATGATAAATTTTTTTTCTATTTTTCTTTTCACATACTTTTATTTAATGTTTTCTTTATATTTTTTCATCATTATGCATATTAATAATTTTTTTTTTTGTGTTTTGAATAAGTATGAACAAAATTAATAATTTTTCTCTTTATTCTATAAAAATGAAAATTACTTAGTGTCAAAAAATTTATGACTTTTAAAGCTAATTAAATTTTTACAATTTCTTAATTTAAAAAGAGAAATTTTGTAGGGTAGAGAGTGAGAATGGGAGAAAGAGAATAATTTTATTTTAAAAAGAAAAACGTGTTAAATATAATAAATTGGTTTTCGCCCTTAATTTTAATACAAATTTAATATTAAGCAATTGTGTGTATGTTTTTATAATATTGTCTTTTATTGAAATTTAAAATTTGATGACCCCATGAGGTTTTTTGAAAAATTGTGTAGCTGTAATCCGAAAATGAAATATTTTCGTTACATATGCAAAATTTTGGTATAGCAATGCAGTGAAGCTCTTATAGAACGAAATCTCCTTAAATATCTATATAAGAAATCGTTCGTATTAAAATGTTAAAGAAATCTTGTGTTAAAGAGATTAAAATACAAATAGAAGCAAACAAATTTCATTATAAAAGTTAAGCGAAACATACTATAAGAGATTTTCCTGTAAGAGAAGTTTATCTTATAATATTTGCCAAATTGGAAGCAGATTTAAGGGTATTATTTCTGATTTTAATGTAATGAATTGAAAATATAGAGAAATATTAGATATTTAAGCATTTTTTTCGTATAAGATAGCCTTTAACATCTCTTCTGTATAAGACACAGAAGTCTTAATCAAAATTTAGTCATATGACAGAATTTTTGCTTCATAATATAAGAATTTAAGACTTGTCTCTAAGTTCCTACAAAACTTAATTACAATTTAACAATTTCAATGTCAATGAACTTTCTTTTTCCATTTCCATTAAAAATTTAAAAATTTATTTTAAGAATTACGCTGTTCTATAATTTCAATGTTTGCCAACACTTTAATTTTTAAATTAAATGTATAAAAGAAAAATTATTTTGCCATTTTCACCTTTAAATAATAACATTGAAAAAATAATAATATTTTTATTTTTTTCTTAATTTTATGCCATGCCACACGTCGTTAATAATATTTTATAAATATATAACAAAATTACATTTATATCCTTAACAAAACCCTTTAAAATTTTAGTTTGTGAAAAATTTTCTTTATTTTAATAAAATTTTGTTCAAAAAGAAAAATTATATCACTATCATCACCTTCTTAAAATAATTTTCATAATTTTCTGTATCGTAAAACAAAGACTACATCATCATCATCGTCGTCGTCACCTCACCAGCAACACTATCATCACCATAATTTCAATTGCATATGCAAACCAAAACCAAAATATTCTTCTCTGAATAAAAATTCAAAAATATTCAAAAACAAAAAATCAAAAATGCCCCCTAAAATAATAATGCTCATTACTATATGCACATGCACATACATATACGCTTACGAATCTCTACTATATGCCTTACTGTTATACAGTAATGTAAATAAAGAAAATATCCTTGATGCTAGGCAGTAGCAATAATATTCACCAGTTTCCACAGTTCACCATTACATTAATAATTTAATATTACCATATTTATATGTTTACTCGTTTGTATGTGTATACAATTTGTAAAAATGAAATCAAAAAAAAAAATTTTTTTTTATACTTAAATTATTTGTGGTATTTCGGCAAAGTATTCCCAATTTAGAAATTTGTTTTAATTCTTTAGATTTTTAGAATTTTCTTTAAAATGAAAATTTTGTTCTATATACCAAAAAAAAAAACAGAAAAAAACAGAAAAGTGGTGGAGGTAGGCAAGTAATAAACGCTACCAAACCAAACAAAACCAAACAAAACCAAGCCAAACTGAAAGGGTGAAAGAAATTTTATTTATTTATTTATTTTTATTTTGTTGTATTCAAAATTGCTATAAAAATTTCCCAGATGATCCTTTGTGCTGATGCAAAAGAGCAAAAATTTCAAAAAAAAACAATTTCATATTTACATTTTTGTACACAAGTGTTAATTTATAAACATTCACTTTCTCAATTATTCTACTTTCTTACTTCCCTTTCTTTTTTTCTCTTCCTGCATTGATTCACCACATAATAAAAATACTTTAACCTTGTACTGTAAATATTTCAATGGGTGTGTATGTATTTAGCTAGCTGTACAATACAGCCATTTTTTATTGATTTAAATTAAAATTACAATAATGTTAAAAATTGCATATTTATAGGGGTTGCAAATAAATTTTCTTTATGAATTTTAACAATACCGAAAACTTTTTGAGCAATACTAATGTACTACAAATATAAATGGCGATTGATTGAAGTAATATTCATAATTTATGCTTACAACTGAAATTAATCTGATACTAGGAACAGTACCCATCTGATACTAGGAACAGATTATATGGACAATTTTAGATATTTATTCTTGACATATGGCAAATCAGTAGAAATTTACACTGGGCATTGATATTGTACATTCTGGAAGATCATAGACACTTAAATAAATAGAATTTAAGGACCGGACGCAATAAATTGAAAAGAAAGAGCCATAAACTGAAACGGAATGGTAATGACGTACTATGAGTCACAATATTTTTAAGTGACTGTATTTTTAGAAAAAAATTTGCTATCACTAAAATATTTTTCAAAAAACGAATAAGTTAAAATATAAAATCAACTTTTTTTTTTGATAAACCCTCAAAGGTTATTAAAAGTTTAATTACTCTAGACGTTAAACTCGTGATATTCTTATTGGTTAATTATATACACACACGTTTACATTCATATAATTATTATGACTAAATTTTGCAACCCCTAACCCTAATTTATGTACTTTATAATATTTAAGAGAAAATTTATAATTATTATTGTA